AAGTAACTCAGTCCCTTTCTTTGATGGATGCAAACCATTTCTTTGTACAGTTTTTCATTGGACCAGCTGCAGACATCATGACTAATATAACCAAAGCCTTCCTTTTTACACCACTCCTTTAGCCACACATTAAACTCCACTACACGCTGGCCTTTCCCTTTTGTTCCTTATATACTGGTAAAACCTCTGAAAAGATAAGCCTACAACCTATACTACTAAGCTCATACTCCAAGCTCTGGAAATCATTCTGCACAGAAAGTACATCTTTTTGGGAGAGATCATTTGTGCCAAGATGTATAATAGCATCAACATCACAGTCCTTATTGGCACTCTTGACTATCTTCATAAATGACTTAGATGAGGGAATAGAAGGGAAACTCATCAAATTTGCAGATGACACTAAACTGGCAGGAAACGACAAGCTCAGGATCCAAAAAAATCTTGACAAACTTGAACAACAAAATAAATTTCAATGTGGAGAAAAGCAAAGTTTTACATTTAGGCAGGAAAAGTCAAAGGTATAAGTACAGATTAGGCAAGATCTGGCTCAAAAGCAGTAATTGTGAGAGGGACCTTGGAGTCCTAGCAGATGATCACTTGAATATGAGCCAGCAGCATGCAGCAGCAGCCAAAAAAGCTAATACAATCCTAGATTATATAAACAGACACATCAAGATCACGTGAAGTACTAGTACCACTTTATAAAACCCAGTAAGACCACACCTGGAATACTGCAACCGATTTCGGTCACCATACTACAAAAAAGATGTTGAGAGTTTGGAAAAAAATCAGAGAAGAGCAACTAAGGTGATCAAAGGCCTGGAGACCAACACATACGAAGAACAGCTGCAGGATTTGGGTCGAAAAGAAGAATTAGGGCTGACATGATAGCAATATTCCAGTATTTGAGAAGCTGCCACAAAGAAGAGGGGGTTAAATTATTTTCCAAAGCACAGGGGGCAGGACAAGAAACAATGGTTGGAAACTAATCAAAGAGAGAAGGAACCTCAAATTAAGGAGAAACTTCCTAATAGTGAGGATAATTAACCAGTGGAACAGATGTTGCCTTCAGAAGCTGTGGGCACTCCATCACTGGAGGTTTTTAAGAAGAGACTGGACAGTCACATGTCTGAGATGTTACAGGTTCTCCTGCTTGAGCAGGGGGCTAAACCAGAAGACCTCCAAGGTCCCTTCCAGCCTGTTCTAATTCTAATTCTAATAGGCAATGGATATTTTGGCTCTGGCCATGTCCAGAATGGCAGTCATTTTGAGTAAAGGCAAGGCCATTCAGGGGCAGCCATTTTGTGAAAACAGCCATAATCAATTCTCAGAGCTCCAAATTTCTTCCATGAGGCATCTGGAGAGGATCAAGTCCATAAATTCAACACCAGTTCCTCAAGAAAGTCCACAAGAAGGGCCCTTTCTTTAGCCAGATTTAATGTCCTTCCAACAGCCATTACTGAAGGATTTTTTAAAAAATCCCCTTTGAACAAAGACTGTGTCCATGCAATGGTGGAATAATTGAATCATTGGAACACTTTATGCTGTATTGTCCCGTCTATGCAGCAGCATGTCAGCAGTTATTATTTCCACTTTTTATTAAATACCTGCTCATTCTGATTTGTTCTATTTTGTTGCATTTCTATGCCGCCCAACTCCCAAGGGACTCTGGGCGGCTTACAACAGAGAATAAAACAATGCAACAATATCCCATACAAAAGTTAAAAGAAGACATTAAAACTTCTTTTTTAAAAACACATACACTCCAATTTGTGGCCGGGTCTCACAAGATCACTATAACGAGATCAACGGCCCCAGGCCTGCCGGAAGAGCCAAGTCTTCACCGCTTTCCGGAAGGCCAATAGGGTGGGGATGGTCCGGACTTCAGGAGGTAATTGGTTCCAGAGAGCCGGGGCAGCCACAGAGAAGGCCCTCCCCTGTGGGCCCACCAGCCAACATTGTTTAGCTGACGGGACCCAGAGGAGACCGACTCTGTGGGATCTTACCGGTCGCTGGGAGCTATGTGGTAGAAGGCAGTCTTGAAGATAGCCTGGTCCTGAGCCATGTAGGGCTTTAAAGGTAATAACCAACATCTTGAATTGCACCCAGAGACCGATAGGGAGCCAGTGCAGCTCACGGAGAATTGGTGTAATGTGGGTGTATCTAGGTGTACCCACTATAACTCGCGCGGCTGCATTCTGCACCAACTGAAGTCTCCGAACACTTTTCAAGGGTAGCCCCATGTAGAGCGTGTTGCAATAGTCCAACCGTGAGGTGACAAGGGCATGAGTGACTGTGAGGAGAGCCTCCTGATCCAAGTAGTGTCGCAATTGGTGCACCAGACGAACCTGTGCAAAGGTCCCCCTAGCCACAGCTGTCAGATGTTGTTCCAATCTCAGCTGTGAGTCTAGAAGGACAGCCAAATTGCGAGCCCGTTCTGAGGGGGGCACTTTCTCTCCCCCCAGAACCAAGGATGGACAATTGACATAGTCTTTAGGGGGCAATACCCAGAGCCATTCGGTTTTGTCTGGGTTAAGTCTGAGCCTGTTGACTCCCATCCAGATCCTCACAGCCTCCAGGCACCGGCACATCACATCCACCGCCTCACTGAACTGACGAGGGGTGGAGATATACAGCTGGGTGTCATCAGCATATTGCTGATATCCCACCCGTGTCGTCGGACTTGAACTCCTCTTAGATATTTTAGCATATTTATACATACAAATATATACATTTCTTTTCTCTTGTATTTTATTTTAATTAACTGCAATTTCTGTATCTGCACACTGGTCTATGACTGAATAAAGATTTGATAATGGAGCAGCAATTCAAGGCAGTAGTTCTGCCAATGGTGCCTTCAGGGATTAATAGAATAAGAGACTTGGAAAAGATCTTGGAGGTCTTCTAGTCCAATCTCTTACTCAAGCAGGATACCCTAGAGACCATTTCAGACAAATGAGTGTCCAATATCTTCTTAAAAACCTCCAGTTTTGGAGTACCCACAACTTCTGTAGGCAACTCGTCCTGCTGGTTAATTGTTCTGTCAGGAAATTTCTTCTTAGTTCTAGGTTGCTTCTCTCCTTGGTTAGTTCCCATCCATTGCTTCTTGACCTGCCTTCAGGTGCTTTGGAAAATAGATTGACTCTTTCTTCTTTGTGGCAGTCCCTCAAATATTGGAACAGTGCTGTCACCCTTGTCTTTCTTTTCATTAAACTAGACGTACCCAATTCCTGCAACCATTCTTTGTATGTTTTAACCTCTAGTCCCTTAAATGCCTTTCTTGCTCTTCTCTGTATTCTTTCTAGAGTCTCAACATCTTTTTTTATATTGTGGTGACCAAGACTGAAAGCAATATTCCACATGTGGTCTTTTTGCTGGAGGCCACATTTCTCCACCATGACAAGAATGGATGCAATGGACAATCTTCTCCTTTGTAAATTTATCTAACCAAAGTCACCCCAGTTCTGAGCTAGTATCCCCTCCCATACCAGCAGATTCCCAAACTGTTGCTAATTGTTATATAAAAATACTCATTATGAATGGGACTGTCCCAGTGTTACGCTGCTTGCAAGAGGCAGGATAAGCCTAAATAATACGTGGCTGAGAAAAAGTATGTCAGGACGCCCACTTCCACACTGTCAAGAATCCCTGGCTCTGTCTTGTCTAGCAGGGAGGCTATTTGGAGCACTTTTACGGTCAGTGAAGTATTTTTAGGATATGGAATGTCTCCATCCAGTCAAGATGGCTCTTGGGTCTTCCTAGACAGGAAGTCCCTGTTTATTTGATTTGATCCACAATAGTTTTCCTGTTGCTCTCCGGCTTTATTTCATGCTTCCTGACTTTGCTCCAGGAGCCACCTTCTGTTTTAGTGCTGTCCACCACGCAAGCGAAGCCAAATTTTATCTAATTAGGTTAAAGGGAGTCCCATGGAGCTCAAGGAAAGGGGTCAAGAAAGTTGGCAGCTTTAACTATGCAATCAAAGACCCGCCCTTTTGTTTCTTTTGTAAAAAAAAAGGGGGGAAGGTAGGACTTTATTCACATGCTGGTGGACATCATCTTGACTTTTTTGACCTCATCCCCAGACATATCTTGAGGGAGCCAAGGGCTAGACTGGTTCGGTAGAATCAGATCTAGAACCTCAGAAGACATAGAATCCTTGAATTGTGAACTTGGAAGGGATTCCAAAGATTATTTTAGCAAAAGTAACACACCAGTATTTATTTATTCGTATTAATTATTAATAGCATTTATTTGCAATAAGAAATGAATAATTTTGCAATTGTAAAATGAAAAGTGGAAATATGATACAATAAGAGTAGACAAACATTAGTAGTTTGTGTTTACTGGAATGGAATAATTCATATAATAGGGACTTTTTTAAGCATCTTCAAGCAGAAGGTGAATTGATTGTGACGAATCTTTATTTATATCCACATAATGTACAGATGTTAACTCACCGTCACTGGGCTCGGGTTCCTCTCTGTTTTGTACATTAATTATCACTGAGGAACCAACATTTGTACAAAAATGAGTGGTTGTCAGTGATATATCTGCTGGGAATGAAACCTCCTTTTCTGCACATTTTTGCAAAACACTTTTATTACAGATAACCATAATGCCACCCAACAGGAATGAAGAGGCAGCACTATAGCCAACATAAATAGCAGCACCAAACTCCTGGCGCTCTGGAACTGTAGGCGTTCGCAAGGACTCAGAAAACATAATGGCTGAATTAACCAAGATGGAATACATATTCCAGGAAACCATGATGGAAGACCATGATCCCTGATAAAAAAAATCAGAAGACCTCCAACCAGGGGTGAAATGTAAAATTTGTTACTACCGGTTCTGTGGGCGTGGCTTGGTGGTGGGGGTAATATGACTGAGTGGGCGTGGCCACCTTTTTTTTTTTAACTTTTAAAACCATTTTTTCTACAACGTCTTCGGCTGAAGAGGTTGTAAAAAATGCTTTTAAAGCCTCTGACGATCCCAGCTGACTTGCCTGAGTGGTATGAACCTGGGACAGAAGCTTGCTGTGAGATGCTGCTACCCGTCTGAGAATGGGATGACTTGTAAAGGGGGGCCATGTGTGAATGATGGGATGGCATATGTGAACGATGGGTTGCTTTGGACTCAGCCTTCTCGTTCGCAGCTTTCTTGGAAGAATGAACGGCAGACGCGTGTGAGCATTGGGGTGAGGAGGCTTTCTTAGAAGAGTGAGCAGTGGCCTCATGTGGCCGCTGGAATGGCGCATGTGAATGATGGGATATCTCGGATTTGGCCTTCTCGCTCATTGTGTCCTTCACCTGAAGATTGGCATGAAGCTGAAGATCAACGTGGGGTAAGTCTTTCCTGTTTGAAACGAAGTTATCGCACTGTTTGTTTAACGTTTGGATGTGTTGTATGTCCTTTTCGAGCTCTGGATCTTCTAACTTCGACTGGATGCGGATGAGTTAGCATTCACAATCCTTCTATTGCAGATATAGCAAATCCATATTATTATCCATTGAGCAGATGCACCCAGGGGAGAGCTCTTCTCTGGGTGTATCGTGAAGAAGTATAAATTTCTCCCAGGCTTTGGTATGGTTTCGATATTTCTTATCCCATTCATCCTCCAGACTTGCTCGCATGGCATCGGTAAGCTTTCTCAGGTCATAGGTTTTCTGAGGTGCCGCTGCCTCAGAAATTTGGATGTCCAATTCTGGGTTTGTATCGAGGTTAGGTGGGGGAGAGGATCGGCATTGCTGGTGAATCAGATGCTTCTGCCATGATTGCATGAGTCTCCAGGGCGTCCGATACTTAATTCGTGTCAAGATTAGCTGGGAGGATCAGCTCTGCTGATACATTAGAGGCCTCAACCATGACTGGGAAAACTAAGGGGATTTCTGGATACTGGATACTAGAGTGCATTGCAAACTTTAGGCGGTGTTGATGCAGTTTGCTTTTTGACCACTGGGATGTGTTGCAAATTTTAGGAGATGTTGCAGTTCACCTTTTGACCACTGGGGTGCATTGCAAACTTTAGGAGACGTTGTAGCAGTTCGTTTTTTGACCACTAGGGTGCGTTGCAAACTTTAGGAGACATCATTGCAGTTTGCCTTTTGACCAAGGATTTACAGTTAAGGTGAGATTCATAATCTGTCCCATTTCCTAGTGTAAAAGGATGGTAGATCTGTCCCCCTGTTCAGAAAGCAAGTTTCTCTCCTCCGTGGCAATTTGTAATGGCTGGAGCTTTGTTTTACACCCAGGCAGACAGCCTCAGTGGCCAAACAGGCACACAGATGTGGTCACATGTCATGGACTACATTTCCCATAATGCAATCTCTGTCTACATCTCCCACAATGCAATCTCTTAAAGAGACAGCTCTTAATTCTTAAAGTAACTAATTTACTTCCTAAACAGCACATGATCAAAAGTTAAGAAATCCTGTCCCCCACTTTAACATATTTTAACAATTCTTTCTACCCACTACAACTGAACAATACATATTATTTAAATATTAAACATAAATCCATGTCAATGAAAGTTCACATAACTGGAAGCCAAAAATCTGAGCCACTTACTTTGTAACCAAAGGATCTTCATTACCTCTGATTTGCAAAAGACTTAGATTATCAACCAAGCTGGTGACTCTAAGTTTGGTGAAACAAAACCAAGATGGAATAGTTTAGTAGTAATTTATTCAATGCATGTCTGTGTAATCCCTAATCACACACAAACAAAGGTACAACATAGTAGGAAGAATTTCTTCATGGAATATCTGTGATAGTTTTCACAAATGATTCTTTTATACTATATCAGAGTTTTTGAACCTCATCAACTTTTCTGGTTTGAGTGAGCTGGTATCCAGAGAACCAGGTAGCTTATTCAAAAGCAGTGGAATTGTATTTGAAGTAAACCCCCAAATCTCCTTAGTTGGTGACCACCAGTGGTGGGTTGCTACTGGTTCACACAGGATTGGACAAACCGATAGTGGCGGTGGTGGGAGGCTCCGCCCACCTGTCCGGATGCTTCTGCACATGCGCAGAAGTGCCCTGCGCGCATGAGTGAACTAGTAGTGATGGGATTTGGAACCCATCCCTGGTGACCACAGATAGATAGTAGCAGCTGTCTCTCACTATCTCCAATGCCGGATGGCCAGCACCTCTTCCTTTCTCCTCCAAAACGTCCGTTTTCAACTGTCATTGGACATTCCAACTGCCACTCCTCAACTGACAAACGACAGAATTCCAAAGGACAAATCTCAGTCAACAGTTCCCATCTTTTCTTTCGAATTACCACACACATTTATATACAAACAAAATAGGTCAATAGATGTAGTCTAGTCTTAATGGAAGATAATGTGCTAAATATCTTGTCTCTCCATCTGCCATTTTAAGTCATTATCAACTATTTATCTCCACCAAATTCCCTCCTAAAGCAATTTAGAAGTACAAAATGTTCAGAGAAGATGCTTTATAATGTACCAAAGGGATCAAAATGTACATGAAAGAGGTGAAAACAAAGAACCAGCAGTGGAGAAGAGGAAGATGGCCTGGAGGTGAACCCTTTGGCCTCTTAAGTTATCCTTCAACTCCAAACAGGATTCAAATAGTTTAAAAGACTAAGACCTGATTCTGGAATGGGATAAGTCCTGTACTTCAGTAAAATAAGGTTTATCAGGTATGTCAGAAAGCATTAATACAGCTTTTAAAGACTCATCAAATAAAGTACACACTTTGGTGTAATGGTTAAGGCACCAATCTAGAAACTAGGAGATTGTGAGTTCCAAACCTGTCATAGTTTTTTGAAAGCCATCTGAGTGATTTCAAATCAGTCGTCCTCTCTCAGCCCAGTCCACCTCACAGGGTGGTTGTGGGGAAAAGAGGAGGAAGGGTATTGTGTATATTCGCCACCTTGAGTAATTTATCAAATAAAAGTGGGCTACAAATATAAATTTGTTCGTATGTTCAGTCAATCCAGTCAAAGATGGAGAAAAGCAACCTAGAACTAAGGAGAAATTTCCTGACAGATAGAACATTTCACCAGTGAAACAAATTGCCTCCAGATGTTGTGGGTGCTCCAATACTGGATGTTTGCAAGAAGAGACTGGACAGCTACCTGTCTGAAATAGATGGCACCTGTCTAGGGCAGGGGTGTCAAACTTGCGTCATCACGGTGGCATCACGTGACGTATTGGGACTTCTCCCCCTTCGCTAAACCGGACGTGGCCGTGGCCAGCCCGTGTCTAAGATCTCCTGCTTGAGCAGGGGGTTAGACTAGAAGGTCTAGTCCAGGGGTGGGCAATTGTGGCTCTTTTACAACCTGTGGACTTCAACTCCCAGAATTCCTGAGACAGCAAGCAGGGCGATGATACCAGGCAAAAGTCAGGGTTGTCAGTTCCGTTTGCAGTGGAGCGAGGGGAGAGCCTGGCCGCAAGGGAATGAATGAAGGCCTCGGGCATCGCGTAATGAGGCCTGTGAACCCCGGGGGGCTTTGCGTGGCTTTGAAGGCGAAAGCGGCTGCCTTAGGGCAGGGGTGGGCAACTGTGGCCCTTTTACAACCTGTGGACTTCAACTCCCAGAATTCCTGAGACAGCTTGGCTGGCAGCTTGGCTGTCTCAGGAATTCTGGGAGTTGAAGTCCACAGGTTGTAAAAGAGCCACAATTGCCCACCTCTGGTCTAGTCAAAGGTCCCTTCCAAGTCTGTCATTCCATTAACTTAGTCTTGCAATCATTATGATTCCCAACTGGCTTATTACTCATGTTGAGCAATATTTAAAGGGCAAAAATGCAAACTATGCGGCAAATTTATTCAGAATAAAAAGTTACTATAAAGATCTTTTTCATTTTTAGTACTAAGCTGTGCACGCTTCAACGTTTCTTTTAATGCTTGGTGTAAAATCCATACGAGTGTCCTCAAGGTCTAAAGAAAGGGTCTTTTTGGAATACTCTTAACAGGGTTGTTTTCAGTGGTGAAATGTAAAATTTGTTACTACCAGTTCTGTTTGTTACACCAAGCATGGCTTGGTGGTGGGTAATGTGACCGGGTGGGCATGGCCAACTTTTTTTTTCTTTTAAAAGCATTTTTTCAGCTGAAGAGGTTGTAAAAAAAGCAATTATTTTTGCTTTTAAAAGAAAAAAAAAGCCTCTGATGATCGCGCGGCTCAACGTGTTGTAATTGGCTTCTGAATTGCAGCAACAAATTTCACCTGAAATTTGCCAAAGCTTTTTGCCAACAATATTTGTAATCCATTTTTTAAAACTTTAGTACTTTTCTTATCAACCCCCCCCAAAGTTTCAGTTTACAGTAATTAAAAGTTCCCCTTCTAGCCAATTTTGTTTACTGTAATTATCCAAAAATCTCTTCGCTTTTTTAAAGCTTCTTACCCATTCCAAATGGAGCTGAGTTTTCTAGCACCCGAAGACTGCAGGGACTTTTCTTTAAGAAAGTTTGTTGTACGATTGAGAAGGGACAATCCAGCTGCTCCTGTGCTGCTGTCCATTACTTTCTGTCGTGCTAGCTTTTCATGTTTTTGTGATTCTGTGGTCTGAATTACCTGATCTGCTCCATCATTATAGCTTGTTACAGAATAACAGAAGAGTTGGGAGAGACCTTGGAGGTCTTCTAGTCCAACCCCCTGCTCAAGCAGGAGACCCCAGACCATTTCAGACAAGTGGCTGTCCAGCAATTGGTTCTTTTGGATCCAGAGACAATAAAGAGTCCCTTGGGAGTTGGGTGGCATAGAAATGCGACAAAATAAATAAATAAATAATAATAAATAATAAAGACACCAGTAAATGAAGAGATTCTAAATGCTGCAATAATGGTGCCCACACGTCTGCCCGACATGTGGCAGAACATTCCGTGCCTGTATAGGCCTTACCAGCCACCTGCGGACACACCGTGAACAGCCCACAACCTGTTAGATGTCAAGGTCTTCTTCGAAAACGATGGACAAACAACAACATTAGCTGAAGCAAACAGGTTAAAAAGCATAACATAAAAGGCATACATTTTATGTCAGGAGCCCCTTAATGACAGCAGAGATATCCCATGCTGGCCAATTTCTCCACAGTGTACAGAGCTAAATTCTGTTGTAGAAAGTCCCAACTAAATAATAATCCCAGTGTTAGACCTGCCCCAACTTGGACATTTAGGCAAGAAACACCCTTGACTCCATTCGGACAGAAAGATATACTTTACTAAAAACCAAGTGGTTCACAGTATAACAAAGCCAGAACTGAAGTTCGTGCGCCAAAGTTTCCCGGTTAAATTTCCCCCCCCCCCAGTTCCTTTCCCTCATTGCCCAATTTGAATACATGGTTTTGGAAAAAGAGCCTTGGTACTACAGTGGTTTAAAGCACCCTGTTATTAACACAGCTGCCTGCAATTTACTGCTGGTTCGAATCTCTCCAAGGCTCAAGGTTGACTCAGCCTTCCATCCTTTCTAAGGTGGGTAAAATGAGGACCCAGTTTGTGGGGGCAATAAGCTGACTTTGTATAAATATACAAAAGTATGAAGGCTATTGCTGAATGCACTATTGCTGAATGCACTGTAAGCCGCCCTGAGTCTCCGGAGAAGGGCGGCATATAAATCAAATAAAAAAAAAAACAAAACAGTCTCTTCAATGGTGAGCTAGTTGGAGAGCCATTGCATTTCATTCCCAGGGCTTCACCTTGACTTTGTATCTCTGGAAGCAGTGGTGGGATTCAATTATTTTAACAACTGGTTCTGTGGGCGTGGCTTAGTTGGGGGTGTGGCTTGGTGGTCATGTGACCGGGTGGGCATAGCTAGCTGGTCATGTGATCGAGTGGGCATGGCTATGTGCATAGGGACTACTCAGAGGGCTGAAAAAAGTCATTTCTGACTGGTCCTCGCACTTATGACCATCCTCACATTTATGCCCGTTGCAGCATTCTTAACAACCGTGTCAATCATTTCACCACTACTTCTCTTTATCACAGTGACAAAATAGGGCGTAAAATGTAAAATGTGAGGACAGTCATAAGTTCAAGGACTGGTCAAAAGTGCGAGGACCTATCAAAAATAACTTTTTCAGCCTTCTGACTAATCCATATGCATATAGGCTATTCAGAGGGCTGAAAAAAGTCATTTCTGACTGGTTTGACCAGTCCTCGCACTTATGACCTTCCTCACATTTATGCCCGTTGCGGCATTCTTAACAACTGTGTCAGTCATTTCACCACTACTTAACTTCACCACAGTGACAAGATAGGGCGAAAAACGTAAAATGTGAGGACAGTCATAAGTTCGAGGAGTGGTCAAAAGTGCGAGGACCAGTCAAAAATAACTTTTTCAGCCCTCTGAGTAGTCCATATGCACAAAAGGACTACCCAGAGGGCTGAAAAAAGTGATTTCTGACAGGTCTTCGCACTTTTGACCAGTCCTCACCCTTATGACTGGTCATCATTTATGCCTATTGTAGCATTCTTAACAACCGTGTCACTCATTTCACAACTGCTTCTCTTCACCACAGTGACAAGATAGGGTGAAAAACGTAAAATGTGAGGACAGTCGTAAGTTCAAGGAGTGGTCAAAATGCGAGGACCAGTCAAAAATAACTTTTTCAGCCCTCTGAGTAATCCATATGCACAAAAGGATACAGCAATAGAGAGGGATAAAGGAAGGAGAAGAGTGATGGAAGAAAGAAGGAGAGAGAGGGAAGGAAGAAAAGGGAGGGAGGAAGGGAAGGGAAATTAGAGTAGGAGTGAGGGTAAGAGAGGAAGGAAGAGAGGAAGAGAAGGAGAAAGGAAGAGGAAGTAGGGAGGAGAAGAAGGGGGGGAAAGAAAGAAGGAAAGAAAAAAGAGAGGTGGTAGGTTTGAGGAGAAATATTGCTGTACAGTAAAAAAGATGAAATGGAAGAAAGGCAACCCCAAACAAATATAAAGATATTAAGATAAAGAATGAATTGTTAAACTTTAAAGAATAAAAGAGAACAAATATGAATAAATAGCAATAATTGGAAACACACATACAAACTTACAATTTATTTTCTTTAAACAGAGTATTTGACCAGTTCACAAATTTAAACAGTGTTTAGTCATTTCAATTAAATTTACAATTTCTATATTTCCTTTTTGCCATATTTATTCCTCATCTATTTTTTAAAAAAAACAATATTACCCTTCATCCTCATCTCTAATCTTAATCAAATTCAATTTTTCTCTTCTATATTATACCCCTTCCCATTGTCATCTATTTTTATATCTATCCTCACATTGGTTAATTATGTAATATTACAGTTGTTTAATATAAATTCAACATTTTCATATAAATCAATTAGTTATATAACTATCTTTTTTGTATATTAATCAATATGAACATGAATATTCCAATTATTTCCATGCAATCCAATTTCTTACAAATCAATTAATTCAATAATAATAAACCAAATAATTTCCCCCATATATTCCTCCAAACCACAACTTAACCATTTCTACTTTCAACACAATATACAACTAATAGTATTTCAATTATTACAATTCCCTAGTTAAATAGAGCTTTTTTTCTTTTGTATTTTAAAATCTTGAACTCTTCTCTTTTTCCCTAAATTTCCCATTATTTGCACCTACCTTTTTTGGTGAGGAAAAAGAAAAGAAATCTGCCTGCCTAATTTTCCAACGTTGCAGCAACAGCAAAGCCAACAGCCTGCTTTACTTTCAGTTTCGTTTTTCAGCATAGCTAGGGGGAAAAAAAATCTGCTCCAGCACTCTTTGCAAGCAAGCAGCAGAGTCCTCGCAAAACAGCTGAGAGCAAATCAGCTGAGAGTCGGGAGGCAGATCTAATCAACGGGCTAATTAGCCTATGCTGAAGCTCGGCGGGCCAATAAAATTACAAAAAAACACCAAACCGTTTGTTAAATTGCTGGCTCGCCCGCCCCTCGCCCACCACTATTTATTGGCAATAAATAGTGGTGCGGAGGGGGTGGGGCAAGCCAGCAATTTAACAAATGGTTCAGCTGAACCGCCTAGAACCGGCAGAATCCCCCACTGTCTGGAAGGTACGATGAGTAGTGCCAGCTCCCTTCTGCCATAGTTCATGACAGACTGGCATCTAACGAATGCGGAGCTCAAGTGTATGATGGCAGCTCTGGTACACCATTTTTATCAAAACTTGGCACCAAGTGCCTATATGATTCCCATTCTCTGTGTTTTCAGTTCCAGATGAAAGAAAGATAGATGGTTTATAAAACAGGCTAGGTTAGCCCAGCTCCTAAACTTTGGAAAATTGAGGCCCTCCAGATGTTGCTGAACCTGATCTACCAGTGATTTCTCCCATCAGGGTCAACTGCGGAAGATACTCAGAATTATTATGCAACAACCTATGGAAGGCCACTGGTTCCCCAACATCAGAATGAAGAAAAGTAAGTGAATTCCTATTCAGACATAATATTTTAGATTCTTTATAATAGGATCTCGTTGAATACGTGGCTGATCATTTAAAGGATCTTTCCTTTTAGATTTGCAGAAGCTAAAAGTGAGACTTATGACAAATTCACTGAGAGATTACTCAACACAGTAGGTATTCATGAACAGTATTCTGCTTAAGCGTTGGGTCCTTCTTTTCTGGAATAACAATTCAATGGCTCTTTTTGTATTTAGTCAGAAATCACAAGTGAACTTTTGAAGCTGTTAAAAAGATGGTCTGAAAAATCAAAAATCTTCAACAATCTGAAAAGCATTTCTTTGGGAATTTCCAAGTCCATACAGAACACCAGTTATATCTGTGAGTTTCATGTACAGCAAGCTTGTTTTTTTCCCTTCTCTTGAATTTGAATGGTAGGAAACTATAAGCAATTTTCAAATAATTATCTCCCCAAAAGTATGATTAACTGAGCTGTACTCCGTGTTTGAATCAGGCACAGAAGCCTGACTTCTATTAGTGTTGGGTGTCAGAATAACCCGTCTAAGGTTTTCTCAATTAACATGTATCTTTGCAAATTGTTCTCTGCAGATCAAAACATACATTCAGTCATAAAACATAATAAACAAGGGTGAATATGGCCTAACAGGAACACGAGAACAACAGATCATTTGCACACTTTCAATGAGAGGCAAAACACAGCTAGACAAAATATTGACACGGGGCTTAGATGCCAGCAGCCCTTTTCTGTCTCTTTTTACAGAGGAGGCGGCAGGCGGCTGGGGAAAAATATTAGGATCAGTCCAATGGGAAGTTTTATATAAAAATATATTTTATTCTTCATACTGTTGCCAGCTTCCCTTAAAACATTAACAGAATCCACAATGGAATAAGAATCAACAGCTCTACTAGATAACTGACAGTCAAGCTGAAACTAGGCTAATCAAGTAAAAATAGCAAACAGGGGAAATCTTTTATTCAAACTTCCTCAAGCCCCCAAATAAATTATCCAACCTAATCCACATATCAAAGGAAAAGGTCTGTAAACACAAATAGAGTTAATTAAATTGGTGTCCCAGAGGAGCTGTGTGTTCACAAGAATAAACATCACACATCCATGCCCCACGGGTGTCACCCTAGAATCAGTACATATGCACTTCCATATCCAGGACAAGCCCACCAGGTAAACCATCTCACTGTACCCCGTATCTCTGTAGCTGTCCCCAAGGCAAACTCCTTTGCTTTGGGTAATAAATATTTATCCTTCCCTCACAGCCCTCTGGAATTCATTTTTATTTATTTTGGTGCAACCCTGGCTCAAATTGAAACCTCAAATTTTGACAGTCCTTTTGACAGTCCCAAAGGAGAGTAATTTAGAACAATGCTTCTCAATCCCAGCAACTTTCAGATATGCGGATTTCAATTTCCAGAATCCCCTGGCCAGCAGGCTGGAGAATTCTGGGGAGTTGAAACCCACACATCTTAAAAGTTGTTGAGGTTGAAAAACATTAGTATAGAAAAATTATTTGTGACAGCTATCACCGACAGACCATTTAGCCAAGAATAAATTCTTTCTACTATATTATACCCTTGTCTGTGTATCATTGGAGTTACCTTAAGGTAAGATGGGCGGCCTATAAATTTGACTAATAAATAAAAATAGGGATTGCAGAAAGATGCATCTGTAAAAAGAAATGCTTTTTTGCTTTCATTTTCAACACATTTAAGCCACCAAATGGCTGCCTATTTTACTAAATCAAGTGGAAATGGAAATGTTGAGAGATATTATGGATATAAAGCAAATGGCCCTGATTTCTGGTTTCACTGATATTCTAGGCTAGATTTATATTTAATATTTATGTGACAGACTGTTCAGTTTATAGTGCATAGAAAGAACTATTAAACCATGTTGTTCCCTTGTTTGTGTGTCAATAGAGATTATGCACACATGCATTGTTTAAATGACAGCTAAACTATTCCATCTTGGTTTTGTTTCAGCAAACTTAAAGAGTCCTCAATCTAAGTTTTTTGTGAATCAGAGGTAATGAAGATCCTTTGGTTACAAAGTAAGTGGCTCAGATTTCTGGCTTCCAGTTATGTGAACTTTCATTGGCATGGATTTATGTTTAATAAATGGCTTTTGGCTTTTCAAACAAATAGGCTGAGACTGATTCCGGGCTTTATTATTTACTACTAATTAATTATTTGGATTAAATTATGATTTTATTGTACTTGTTTCTTAACTTGTGTTCGCCGCCCTGAGTCCTTCGGGAGAATGGCGGCATATAAATACATGTAATAAATAAATAAATAATAAATAATATTTAAATAATATATACTGTTCAGTTTGTAGAAGAATTATTAAATATGTTAATGTGGAAGACAGGATTTCTTAACTTTTGATAATAACATGTCTAATGTTCGTCTACATCACATGAAGTTCTGTAACTGCTAACAACACCTTGCTTTTTTCTTGATCATTGGCTAGTTGATTGGTATTTTAATAACAATATATTTTATTAAGCTATAAGCTTCATTTTAAGCAGCTTAAATATTTTTAGAATTTGCTATTTTTCAAACTTTTGAATGAGAAAAAGCGACATTTTTTACTCGTAAACCACTGAGATAATTAGATGGGTAGTGTATAAATTTCATAAATGGGAAGGAAATTTACTCTCAATGGAATAAAGGGTGAACCTCTAAATTACTGAAGTATTAATGTGCAACAGTCTGTATAATATATGTTCTGCTATTTTGTTTTAATTTCAGGAATCCTAACTTCATCTGCACAACCAATAAACCATTTGATCGGCAATTAGCAAATGAAAATGAATCTATGATTTCTAAACGGTCAGGCTTGATTAATGGAGCCCAGTTAGATGGTTATTAATATTTAGTATCTTTGGGTGGGTTTTGTGTATTATTGCATCAGCCACCAAACATTAGAGAATATGGCATGAAGAAAGTCAGGATGGCATGAATCCTGGCGTGGTGTGGATTGGAATCTGGAAAGCGTGTTATCTGCACAGCACCCATCCAGAAAACAGATACGCTCACTGTGAGGAATTCACCGAAGACCTGTTGATGATGCCCAAAGTAATATTTTGGGCTCAGGATCTGATGACCTTGAGTTGCATTGGAGTAGCTGTGGCCATAACCATCATGAGCTTTGCCTTAGGGGTTGTTGTCAAAGCCATCAAAGAAAAAAGAAAGTTCATCTTGTTTAGTGTTCACCTGTTGAACTTTGTAGCAGGAATCATGGTCCTAATTCCAATTTTCTGGCACACTTATTCCATCTTGGATAACAGAGACATTCGGTTTCCTGAGTCTTTCCAAATGTCTACTTTTCCAGAGCATTAATCCAGAAACAGGATACCACCATTGTGGGAGATTCATAGAACACAGGAAGATGTCCCCCCCCCCAATTTTTTGGGCTAAAGATCTAATGACCTTAGTGAGTCACTTGGGGGCCTGTGGGGATTTGCTTTATGGCCTTCTCCTTATGCACGACTGACAAAGACACGATAGAGAAACGCTTTGCTCACCTGTTTTAATCGTGGAGGTTTTATGAGCTTTTTTTTATCAGGACTCCTAGTCCTCATTCCAATTTCCTGCAACTTGTATTCCATTTTAATGAAGACAGTGATTAGGTTTCCTTGGGCTTTCCACATGCCTGCACTTCCCAAGGAGCAGGAGGTTGGAGCTGCCCTTTAATTTGGCTTTATGGTTGTAATGTTCTTCCTGGTGGGTCCTGTTCTGATTATTTAGAATAAAAGCATTTGGTAAATGCGGAGAAAAAAATGTTTTGCTGCCAGTAGACAAACCCCTGACAGCAATTGAGATTGGTGTGCATTCTGGTCCTTTGGTGATCATCTACCTCTGGGGAAAAAAAGAGGATCCTGAGCCCAGCCCAGATGACTTAACATCTGTAGACTATTAAGATATTAGATTATTAAGGTATTATTTTTAGAACCATCTATCCCTTGTACTGGGCAAATCGTAGTTTTCCAGAATCATCTGGGCCATCTGATTCCCTCTCTCCATAGACACAGTGCTGTTCTCTCCATTATGTAGGATAGCTTGAACTTTCCTGTCTGAAATCGGGATCTGTGACATGCCCTAAAATCTGGATCCCCTTTATAGCCAAGCTAAACTCGAGGGCCATCTGGTCATGGGGCCGCTCTGCCACAGATCTGCAGGTCGAGAGATTGAGCCCAGCAGCTTTTCCAGGGTCCCTGACAGGCATTTATTTGTACGTCAAAACTGAAGTGAGGATTTCAGGTGACGTTCAAAATCCATGCCAAAAAGGGAGGCAAAGAGAAGACACCAACTGCCTCTCTCAACCATTTATTGTTTTCCAAAGGAACCCTGGAAGGGTTGGAAGAGTTGGCTGTACATCTGTAGACTGTGTAGATGTAATTAAAAATTTCTGCACAAATCAACTTATGATCAAGTGCTTAAGGATGCTAAGGAAGTCCCAATTATATTAGTTACCACATGCCAATAAACGCAGACTGCAAATGTGAACATCAGCAAGATGGGCAGCACAGAAGTCTAAATAACAATCACCTCCATAAGTAACCAGCTCCTGAGCTGTTAAAACACATGAAGCCACCAGATCCTTTCCTTCTGAATCACAGCCCCAGAGCCATTAATTAATTTTATGTTGCTAAGAAATCAGATGGGAGGGAAGTGCACTCCCAATGTAGTGAATGGTGGAAGTCTTTCATACCTCTAGGTTATTCATGTACTGATCTGCAAGGGTCTGTGTAATAGTATCAGTATCTGCTGTGCGATTGTCTTTTGATTTGATTTGTTTATTCACAGGACCTACGGACCCTCCTTTGGCAACCACCCAGTAAAAAGGAATGTGTGATTACAAAAAGTGCTTATTTATTTGATATGTTGGGAAGGGTTTTGTGTAATACTCCAACAGCTGTTGGAAGGTTGGAGAATATGGCAGGTAGAAAGTCAGGATGGCATGTATCCTGGCGTGGTGTGGGTCGGAATCTGGAGAGCCTGTTACTTGCACAGCACTCATTCAGAAAACAGATACATCCACTATGAGGACCTGGGGATGTAGCCCAAAGAAATATTTTTGCCTCAAGATCTAATGACCTTGAGGACTCCGCCCCAAGATGGTTGTTGAAGGGTAGGAGATTTTTCTTTCTTACCCATGATCCATCTGCTGGTTTGCTGCCAGAGCCGGTTCTTTGGCAGCCCTGCCCTCTGGATTTGAATGGGGGCACTTAGGAATGACCCAAGACGGCTTTTGGACAGCTGTGGGCCCAGTTGGGAAGGGGGAATCTTAAAGACTGCAGCTCCCTGTGGGAGTAGCCAGAAAGTCAACGGTCTTTTCTCCATTCCATGAACGCGTGCAGATATTGCCCAAAGAAATTTTTTGTGGCACATTTTTTTTAACTTACAAGATCAATCAATCAATATTATTTAATTTGTCCATGACCAGCCAAATGTAAAACAAAATGGTGCGATCTAGATAAATCAGATAAAATCTAGATAAAATATTAACAGCTAACAAAATAAATCACAGAAAATAACATTCACTCCCAGAGGGAATGAGCCCCAGAACCATGTTGATTCAATTCAGCTCACCTACCTATCTCACCCCAAATACTCCAAATGAGAAAAAAGTAGTTTTGACAACTATTCTTTATTTGGTCATAGACCACCATGTAAAAAAAGGCTTCTTGAGACATTTTGGCTCAGTTCAAATGTAGTCTCTGTTGTTATCAGTTTAAAAATTAGTATTAAACAATGTTTAAGTAGTTGTTGTATTGTTTAAGTAGATTTTCTATTAAATTTTCTATTATGTACTGTATATTGCATGGTGGATGCTAGCTTTTATATTGTTATTTTCAGCATTCCCCATTTGATTATTCTTATTTAATTTCTTTTTATTTACCGTATTGTGTTATGGTTTTACTTTTCATTGTACAATTACAAAATAATTTGTTTCCTACTATAAGTAAATACTTACAGGATTTAATACTCACAATCTATAGTCTCCTGGATAGAGAGCTGAAGGACGCAGTGCAAGACAGACAGAGGGGTATGGAGAGGGCTGTACCAGAGTGGCTGAGGGTCAGACACGACCAAATGGCTGACCACAATGACGGATAGAGAGCTCTGATGTTGTTCCTGGGACCTTTGGGAGCCACTGTTGATCATGCAAAAGCTCCCCTCAAACAACAACCCCACAGTTTTTATCAAAACCCAGCACCGTGACTTCATGGCTCTGTTGTGGTCAGGAAACTGCAAGACCTGGCCTTTGAATGGGTGGCACCTAACTCTGGACAGGAATGGAAAGTCTGAGACTTTCACACCTGAAAAAGCTTGGAAGCTACGTGAATATTCCTTCCCTTCTCCTTTATTCAGTAAAAACAAGTTTAAAAAAAAAAACAAGTAGGTTAGCTCAAAACAAGCTGTAAACCTCTAATCTTCTTAATATGAAGAGGAACTCAAAATATGTCACTAAACTCCTCGAAATAACAAAGGTCTTCCGCGTTGCCCCTAAATTCCACCCAACATATTTTAATTTCCTTTCATATTTTTGCTTTACATCAATTTTACATTTCTGAGTAATATACTGTATACAGTCCGTTAACTTTAAGATACAAAATGTACACCATTGGCATGCTATGCCCAAATTTAAAGTATTGGTCATGACTGGGCTCCATCCTGAGAACCTTTGACTGAATTTCTCCAGCAACTTCTGGATATTCGATGGCGCTGCTTTCGTAAACTGTGGATGCAGGATGGAGACACAACATTCTTGCTTTCTAGCACACCTTCCTTGTTAGCAGGAGGAGAATACACTGCCCTCATTTACTGCCACTAGGGCATCAGCGATGGTGTCCAAGAACTCATGTCCACATACTGGTAAAAGAGAACAAATCCGACCATTATAACAATCATCTATTGAGGCAACTCATGCTAGAACTCTTTGTGACCTCAATGATATATTGCAACCCCAGATCCATAGTAGGTTCAGCAAGACACTCATCTAGGAGATAGTTAAAAACAGTCACAGGTTTACTATAAGCACTTCTGTTTAAAAACTACTTTACCTAGTTTTTTGTACTGGATTTTCTTTTTCTGTGGACATCAATCCATCCTGACCCTTCAAGGTATTATTTTTTGGCCCATCTATCTCTTTTACTGGGCAAATCGTAGCTTTTCCAGAATTAGCTGAGCCATCCAATACTTTCTCTCCATAGACACAGTGCCCTCCATTACATAGAACATCCTGAAGTTTCCTCTCTGAATTTTGGTCTTTGACAGTCCTTAATACCTGGATCCCCTTTACAGCCAAACTAGACTCGAGGGCCATCTGGTCATGGGGAAGCTCTGCCACAGTTCTGCAGCTCCAGTGATTGAGCCCAGCGACTTTTCCAGTGTCCCTGACCAGCATTTAGTTGTACATCAAAGCCGAAGCGAGGACTTCAGATGATGTTCAAATCCATGGCAAAAGGGAGGCACAGAGACAGGGGGACCAAGGAAGGAATGTGATGGGTCCCTAAACCACCACTTGTTTAATTCTTAATGGTGATAAATCTAGCACAATTTTCTGTTATAAATAATCTTTCCATTCCTCCAAAGGAGGGGCTTGTGCTGACCTCCACCCCTTTTGTTTTGGAACTGCTGATCCATCCCTTTATTAGGTGGCTGTTTAACAACTAAAGCATTTTTTAAAACAATCAGGTAGACCATGCCAGTCAATGAAAGCTCTATCAGACATTGTTCTAAATATATATTGCTTACCCTTTTCTTCATCATGTGCTCTTTTGAGGGACTAATGAAAACAAGAAACCTCTCCTTTTAAAGTTTAACAACCAAAACGATGCCACCCTTCCTTTCTTTCTGAATCGCTTACATTCATTGTCATCAATGAGAATTCCCTCCCTCAACCAACAAACATATCCATTTCTAACCAGCCTACGAGTCTGTAAGGACTCGGGTCAATCATGCGATCAACTAATGACAGTGTCGACCACCAGCCAATTCACGGGACATCCAGCCAGGGTAACCTCAGGTGATCCTCACATGGCGTGATCAGTCACATGAGCAACTGGCCACATAAGATAAAAGCAGAAGGGAGCTGAAAGAAAACACTTCAACTGAAGTTCTGCTAAAGATGTTACCTAGCCTGGTGACAAAATGTTCAGAAACTAAACAAAGCTTGGAGAAAAAACCACCACCACCAGTTTCCTCTCTCGTTCTTTCAAAACACTTTCAGCTTTCCTCCTGATGAATTGGGACCTTTTCTCCTTGTTTCACTTTTACTCAGGTTCCCTCATAGCACCACCATAAAGAGAGGCACCTGCAAGTTAACATTTCTTTCTTCTATACTCCTTCTGTCTCTTTCTCTCTTGCAAGGGCCTGCATTAAATTTACTAGATAAAATAAAGGCTGGAGTCCTGATGCAAGACATCAGGTGATAAAAACCAGAATGCAAAGGGTTCTTGGGAGCTGCACAACAGATAAGCAATAGCAATAAGCAAACTATTGCTTCTAGGAGACTTTATAGGTCTCCTCAAGAGAAGGAATCACCTTTTCCTAACAATAGGAGATCTAGGAAGAGGCATTTACAATAACACCTAAAATTTAGATGTTATTCCGATAAAGTCTGGCCCAATTACTACAATCCGCTTTTCACCTGAATAGGAAGCAAGCCTCTCCCCACCCCTCCAAGTTTAACAGTTTAACAAGTTTTTACAGCTCCTGTTCCGCTATTTCCAGGGAATTCAGGCTCCCAGAATCATCAGGGTCTCTGAAATCTTGCAGAATTTCCATGCACAGTGATGCACTCAGTTCTCATGTCCACATTATTTGCATTTTTCTGGGTCCCCCCCTCCCCCCAATAAATGGTTACCGGTAATTCAAATTAACAGAACAGTACTATAGAACCTGGCTAATTATCTCTCCAGGTGGACTTTGACCTAATATTTTGGACTTTTGGACTTTGAGCTAACCATTGGTTAACCCTTCTTTTCCTTGGCTTTAAAAGGAAGGAAGGAAAAAAGCACAGACATTTGACAACAGCCTGTTACTCCTTTTGCAATGGCAAGGAGTTCCAAATGCACACACTGAATTAGATCTTAAAGCCTCACAAAGGATTTATCAAACTTCATCCCTTTTATCTGAAGTGCTTCTCAAATGCAGTACTAAAAACTAGAATAATCAACCATTTTTTTTACACTGTATAAAATTCCCAGGCACTACCTGATCCCCACTAGGAAATTAAAAGCGCTCCCCTAATCCCTAAATGTTCCTAACTTGTCAAGTCAACCCACAACTGAACTCCAGGGTAACGTGGATAGCAGGATCTAACTTGCATCAGTCATGGACAGCCAACACAGGATGTCTCTACCTGCCTTGTCCAGAAGAATCAGCTGATCTTTAAAAGCAGCCACTTCTTCACTTGGCTGCTGTTCCTTTCTCTGAATAGCTTCTAATTGCTCCCAAACATTATGAAGAGCAGTGAAAAAAACCCATCCTAATCTTCTCCCCCACTCTCCAAAACTGCAGGTGTTTAAGCATTGCATTGCCAGTTGGAAAGTGGGGGACTGCTCACTGAGATTTATCACTGGAATTCTGTCGTTTGTCAGTTGAGGAGTGGGAGTTGGAATGTCCAATGACAGTTGAAAACGGACATTTTGGAGGAGAAAGGAAGAGTTGCTGGTCATTCGGCATTGGAGATGGTGGGAGACAGCTGCTACTATCAATCCATAGTCACCAATTGAGGAGATTTGGGGTTTTAACTTCAAATACAATTCCACTGCTATCACGTAAGCGATGGAAATATGTAGTCAGTTTTGTAAGATGTGAGGAATTCAAGAAGTTATAGGTTACATTATTAAGTTATACAACTATCACAGATATTTTATTTATCCATAAGAAATTCTTTCAGCTATATGTCATACCTTGTGTGTCATTAGGTATTGCATAGACATGCATTATGTAAATGAAAACAAAAGTATTCTTCTTACCTGGATTTTTAGGCTTCATTATTAGTATATTAATGAGAAGGATATTAGCACTTTTAATATGGCAGTTCAGGCCTCTTCCCCATTTATAAGAGAGGGTGTTTTTCTTTTAGCTAAAGTCATTTCTTTAGGCATGCAACAACCAGCCTTTTCAGCAATTACACAACAGAGTGTATTCTGAAAGTCCTGAACATAACTTGCAACTATCATGAAAGATACTAACCTAGCTGGGGAAAACTGGTGTAACCCATACATTTGTCACTTGCAGAATTTTATCTAGAATCAATATTTTCTATTGTTCAAAGTTCACATGCAATCAACGTATTTTACTGTTTTATCATTTACTTACTGATGTACAACAGATACATGTTTCATTTGTTGCTGTAACCCATAAAGACTTGACACACACACACACACACCCCAAATTTGTGCTTTTTGTGCTTTGCCAGAATTACTTAGTGATTCATATTTTCAGGAGGCAAAGAAGCCCCTTTGCAAGGTGAAAATCTCTCCACCTCATCAGCTCCACACACTTGAGATGCCTGTGTTTTGAAGCAACAATTCTATTTTGTTCTTGTTTCAGCAAACTTAGTCATCAACATGATGGATAATCTAAGTTATTTGCAAATCAGAGGTGCTGCAGATCCTTTGCCTACAAAGTAGGTGACTCAAGATTTCTGGCTTCCAGTTACGTGAACTTTTATTGGTATTCTAAGTTGGACTCACGTTTAATATTTAAATAATATAAATTGTTCAGTTTGTAGCATGTAAAAACAAATACTAAACTATGTTAAAGGGGGACAACTTAACTGTTGATAGTCATAACCTATCTGACATTTGTCTACATCCCATGAAGTTCTGTAACTGCTAACATAATGCCATACCTTTTTTCTTGACCATTGGCTAGCTAACTGGTATTTTAACAATATATTTATGCTTTTTAAAATGCATTGCTCCTTGTAAACAACTAATTTTTTTTAGAATATCTTATTTTTGAGACATTTGAATGCGGAAAAGCAATATTTATTTTTTACTTGTAAACCATTTAGTCACCTAGTTAATGATACAGGTAGTGTATAAATTTGATAAATACATAAATTAATGTTGCTAAAATTAGATGGGAGGGAAATTTACTTCCAAAGGAATGAATAGTGAAACTCGTTTACACATCTTGATTATTCATGCTTTAATGTGCAAGGGTCTGCAGAACCATATAAATATATGATGTGCTATTTTCTTTTGATTTGATTTCAGGAATCCTACATTAATCTACAAGAGCAATAAATCACTTAACGAGCAACTACCAAGTGAAAAAGAATCAATAATTACAATATGGTTAGCCTGGATTAATAAGGCCCAGTTAGGTGGTTATTTCCTGGGTATTTTGGGATCCATTATGTGCATTGCTTCAACAGCCATTGAATGTTGGAGAAAATGGCAAGTAGAAAGTAAGGATGGCATGTATCCTGGCGTGGTGTGGATTGGAATCTGGAAAGCCTGTTATCTGCACAGCACCCATCCAGAAAACAGATACATTCACTGTGAGGAATTCACCGAAGACCTGATGATGCTGCCCAGAGAAATATTTTTGGCTCAAGATCTGATGACCTTGAGTTGCATTGTAGGAGCCGTGGCCATAACCGTCATGAGCTTTGCCTTAGGGATTGTTGTCAAAGACATCGGACACACACACAGGTTGTTCATCTTGTTTAGTGTTGGAGGTGTTCTGAACTTTGTAGCAGGAATCATGGTCTTAATTCCAGTTTTCTGGAATCTGCATTCCATCTTGGAGAACAGACACATCGTGTTTCCAGAGTTCTTCCAAATGCCTACGGTTCCAAAGCACCAGGAGGTTGGTCCTGCTATTTATGTCGGCTATAGTGCTGCTGTTTTATTCCTGGCAAGTGGCGTTATGATTATCTGTAACAGAAGTGTTTTGCAAGTACATGCAGAAAATGTTTCACCAGCAGCAAATGTATCACTGACAACTCAATTTAGTACAAACTTTGGTTCCTCGGTGATAATTAACGTAATAAAGAGAGAGAAGTCTGATTTCAGTGATGATGAGAATTGATTATATAGAATATCTATATATTATGTAGATATAAATAAAGATTCATCACAATCAGTTCAACCTCAACTGCTTGACAACAGTAAGAAAATCCCTGTTAGTTGTTACTCCATGCCAGTAAGCACAAACTTCTAGTGTTTGTCCACTCTATTGTAGTATCATATTTCCAGTTTTCATTTTACAATGACAAAATAATTGATTTCTTAATGTAAATATAGGCTATTAATAATAAATACTACAAATAAATAAATACTGGATAGTGGATTACTTTTTTTGCTTCTTTTCTCACTTCCAAACCTTCTTCCCAGGATAAAAGATTTCAAAATTTTAGAAACTTGCACATTTGTGTGTTGTCTGAATTGGTCCAAATAACTCTTAACTCTATTACAAATTTTAATTGTAACAAATATGACTTAATTCTTCTCTTTTGAAATTCTGTGGACAGATATATCAAATTCACACCGGAGGAGGTTAAAGGAATATAGCCTTAACATTCCGCCTTCCTGGACTGTGCAGTACACATTAAGGATGACAGATGCCTTAGCATTGAAGTTTACAGAAAACCCACACAGAGAGATCAATATTTATATTTTGATTCCCACCACCCACTGGAGCACAAAATGGGAGTCATCAGACTCCCTACACCACTGAGCTGAAGGCCTGCCTACCAGCGAAGTTGGGAAAGAAAAAAGAACGAAAACACATCAAGGAAGTCCTCAGAACGGGTGGCTATGCCAGGTGGGCCTTCATCAAATCTCAAAAAAGACCCTACAGGAACTCCTCCATAACAGACAACAAAGAGAACAATAAAGGAAGCAATGTTGTCATTCCATACGTTGCAGGAATATTGGAAAAACTCATGAGGATCTTCAGCCAACACAACATACGTGCACACTGCAAGAGCACGAGCACTTAGACTTATATACCGCTTCACAGAGCTTTGCAGCCCTCTCTAAGCGGTTTACAGAGTCAGCATAGTGCCCCCGACAATCTGGGTCCTCATTTTACCCACCTTGGAAGGCTGGAAGGCTGAGTCAACCTTGAGCCTGTCCCCAGAGGTGAATTTTAGTAACAGGTTCCTTGGTTGTGAGCTCTGTGCCTTGCTTTTTTTTCTGCCTCTTAAACTTCTGAAACTTCAGAAAAAACTTTTTTTCCTGCCTCTGAAAGCCTCCGAAACAGCTTCAGAAAAAAAGCCTCTGAAGCTCTGTTTGGGGGCTTCTTTTCTGACGCTTCTTTTCTGATGCTTTTTTCCGCCTCTGAAACCTCCGTTTGAAAAGCTGGGCGAGGCTACATTTGGAGTATAAGATACACCCAGATTTTCACCCTCTTTTTTAGGGGGAAAAGGTGCATCTTATACTCTGAAAAATACAGTAATAATTCTGCCTAAATGAATTGGATTCCTATTGAAGTTTTAATGATGGGCATCGAACATCAGCCATCAATTCCTTGCCCTGTTTTAGTGGCTAGTAGAAATGGTTTTCAGGAGCAAAACTTTCCGGTATTTAAGCAAGATGAATGATGGCAAAATTAAGGGTTTGCCACTGGGTTCTGAAAATAGCTTTGAAAAATAGTTTTTGTATCATTTAGGAGGTTATCAAGGTTTCGCAAGGCATGAATGGAAAATATCTAATGCAAATAAAATACGGCAGCGTAAACATTCTACATATCATTACCTAGCAGTCTCACACTATTTACTCTGTATGTTATGCTTATGTGTTAGGTACCTACCTTGGACAACAGATCTCAATGGAAGGTGATACAATAAAGGAAATTGAACAACGTGTTACACGTGGTTGGCAAGCTAAGCTTAATTTGCAAGAACCACCTCCCCCTATGCCTGAAAAGAGCCTGTAGTACAGTGGACTAAAGCACACTGTTATTAACACCAGCTGCCTGCAATTACTGCAAGTTCAAATCTCATCAGGCTCAAGGTTGACTCAGCCTTCCATCCTTTCTAAGGTAGGTGAAATGAGGACCCAGTTTGTGGGGGCAATAAGCTGACTTTGTATAAATATACAAAAGTATGAAGGCTATTGCTTAACGCATTGTAAGCCGCCCTGAGTGTCTGGAGAAGGGCGGCATATAAATTAAAGCAAAAAAAAAAAAAGTTTTCAATCAGTGAGTGCTACCTGTTCTAAGGAATACATGGACACTAACCTCTCAGTTGATTCAAAGGCTACAAGTCATGCAAAAGAGCCATGGAAAGATACATGCTCAGCATCGCAAGACAAGATAGAAAGACATCCTGCACATGAATTAGAGAACAAAGGAAAGTACATTGACAGTTCATTGACTTATGGCCACAATTGACCCTAGAATTTACTGTATTTTTTGGAGTCTAAGATGCACCTACCTTTTTTTTTGTTTTTTTAAATAAAAAGTGGTTTTTTTATTTTTTAGACAAACACACATGCAAACATACAATGTATTTTCTTTGAACAGAGTATTTGGCTGGTTCACAAATTTAAACAGTGTTTAGTCATTTCAATTAAATTTACAATTTCTATATTTCCTTTTTGCCATATTTATTCCTCATCTATTTTTAAAAAAAAAAATAATATTACCCTTCATCCTCATCTCTACTCTTAATCAATATTTCCCTTCTATTCTATCTTATACCCCTTCCCATTGTCATCTATTTTTATATCCATCCTCATATTGGTTAATTATGTAATACTACAATTGTTTAATACAAATTCAACATTTTAATATGAATCAGTTATATAACTATCTATTTTGTATATTAATCATTATGAACATGAATATTCCAATTATTTCCATTCAAACCAATTTCTTACAATCAATTATATTTACCAATAATAATAAACCAAATAATTTCCCCATATATTCCTCCAAACCACAATTTAACCATTTCTGCTTTCAACACAATATATAATTAATAGTATCTCAATTATTACAATGCCCTAGTTAAATAGAACTTTCCCCTTATGTTACTCATTTTCACATCTTAAACTCTCCCAATAATAGTTTTGCCCATATAATCCCCCAAATTACAACTTAATCATTTCTACTTTCATCACAATATATAATTAAAAATATTTCAATCGTTACAATTTCCGTCATTAAATTTAAAAATGTTCTAGCTGTTATCCAAGCTACAACTTAATCCTCTTTACTCTCAACACCATATACCATTAAAGGTATTTCAATTGTTACAGTTTATACTTATTCATATTTCTAAAAAAATAAAAAAATAAAAACTTATCATTGTCTAGATTTCAAAAATACAAAGATAAATATTCCAATTATTATTCATTTCATTTTTACAATCATGATTTCCCATTAATTTCTTACTACTATTCATATTTCAATTCTGTATAACATCTTTCTCTTTCATTTCTTTTTCTTTTTCTACCTTCATATTTTTATCTTTACCTTTTGCTTTCTCCTTTTTTTCCTTTGTGTTTTAAAATCTTGAACTCTCCTCTTTTGCCCTAAATTTCCCATTGTTTCCACCTACCTTTTTTGGTGAGGAAAAAGAAGAAAAGAAATCTCCTTCTGCCTCTGCCTAATTTTTCCTCTTGCAGCAAACAGCAAACAGCCTGCTTTACTTTCATTTTCATTTTCATTATAGCTTGATTAGCACAAGGAAAAAAAAAAATCTGCTCCAGCAATTTACCTTCCTTGTAGCAAGCAGCAGAGCTCTGCACAAAACAGTTGAGAGCAAATCAGCTGAGAGTTGGGAGGCCAGATTGAATCAATTTGTGCTAATTAGCCTATGTTGAAGCTGAAAGAAGCTGTTTTTTCTTGCTGTTTGCTTGCAAGGAGGTAACTGCTGCGAGGCAGAGGCCAAAGGGTGGGGGCCAGTGGGTACACAGGGCTACATTCGGTGTGTAAGACGCATCTAAATTTTCACCCCCTTTTTTGGGGTAAAAAGGTGCATCTTATAGTCCGAAAAATACGGTATGTTGCTAAATGAGAATTTTTTAAACGGAATTTTGCCCCATTTTACGACTTTCCTTGCCACATTGGTTAAGTGAATCACTGCAGTAGTTAAATTAGTAACACGGTTGTTAAGTGAATCTGGCTTCCCCATTGAGTTTGCTTGTCAGAAGGTCGCAAAAGGGGATCACATGACCCACGGGACACTGGAACCGTCATAAATATGAACCACCTCTCAAGCATCCGAATGTAAATCATGTGACCACGGGGATGCTGCAACGGTCATAAGTGTGAACAAAAGAACATAAGTCACTTTTTTCATTGTCATTGTAACTTCGAAAGGCCACTAACTGAATTGTTGTTCAGACGAGAAACGGAAATGGGCTGGTCCCATAGCAAGAAGAACTGATGGCAGGTGGACCAAAGCGGCCATAGACTGGATCCCACTGGATCATAAGCGTCCACGAAAGAGACCTAAAACAAGATAGATCAATGACATCAGCAAGTATTACGGGCCCAATTGGCAAAACAAAGCCAGGACCGTCTTGGTTGGAAAGATGGTGGAAGAGGCCTTCATCCTGCAGCGGATAGACAGTGGCTAGAATGATGACGATTTAAGTTTTCTTTTTAAAAAAAGGGTATTAAAAGCTTTCCACCTGCTATACTGAATATAATTCAGGATTACGTATGTGCTTTTTCAAAAAGAGTATTAACAGACTACGATGCGTTTCTTATCATAGAAAGATCTGAAGCCACAATCCCTTGGCCTGCCATGAATTTAAACATTTCCCAAGCTCTGTTTCCGAGTCCGGGTTCTGATAGTGCAGGAAGAAATCCAAGCATCGGATTTCTCTTATTTCCGTGATGGCGGCTCCAGTGAAGGATTGCTATACAGGCAGTCTTCCACTTACAACAGTTCATTTAGTGACTGTTCAAAGTTACAACGGCAGAGGAAAAAATGACTTATGACCATTTTTCAGTTATGACCTTTGCAGCATCCTTCAATCATCTGACCAAAATGCAGACGCTTGGCAACTGGTTCGTACTTATAACCGTTGCAGTGTCCCAAGGTCACGTGATCCCCTTTTGCGACCTTCTCACAAGCAAAGCCAGATTCGCTTACCAGGTTACTAACTGATCAACTGCAGTGATTCACTTAACAACTGTGGTAATATATTTATTATTTTTACAAATAACTCAAAGTGGAAAATCTACCTAAAAAGTAGTCTTCGACTTATGACCACAATTGAGCCCATAGTTTCTGTTCTTAAGTGAGACGTTTGTTAAGTGAATTTTGCTCCATTTTAGACCTTTCTTGCCACAGTTGTTAAATGAATCATTGCAGTTAAGTTAGTAACATA